CCAAGCTCAGATGTAGGTCATCCATTGCAACAGTTTCCAAAGGGTAGCTATATTATCAAAACAAAAAAACAAGAGGTTCAACACAGACATTTGCTCATATCTGTATGGATATTTGTTTCCTTTTAACAACATCTTACTATGTTGTCATTCAGTTCCGTGCTATTCTTTCTGATCCAAAAAGCACTGCAGAAATTATCCCATCTGACTACTTTTATTGTACTGGCTCAGTGCTATGGAATCATGGGAACTGTAGTTTATTGTGGTACCGGAGCTCTCTGACAGAGAAGACTAAATGTCTCACAAAACTACAGTTCCCAGAATTCCCTAGCATTGAGCCAGGGCAGTTAAAGCACTCTCAAACTGGATTATTTCTGCAATGTGTTTTGGATCTCTAACAGTTAATCTTTAATTAAGAAAGAACAAGGGTATACATTGCTTGGTAAAGAAGAGTATATTGTGACATCTAACAGCAAATATAACTTGCAAATGCTGCCAAAATTGTGACCAAAGTGAGAACTCCAGGACTTGCAGAACCATTAAATAAATGCTTAAAAATCAAATCCAAGAGGGAGCAATCACCAAAGCCACCATTATGATCCATAAAAATAGCCCAGTGAGAATTAAGCAAAATTTTATCCATGGAATCTAGAGTCATTCGGAAAATAAAAATGGAACATGGTGGAAGGAGGAGATGGAAGGTCTTGCCTGGAAAGAATGGCTGTCTGGAATTCTGATTAAAATCACCTCTTTAAGAAAGAAGTTTTCATTTTATCTTAGCCGGGGTGTGTGTGTGTGTGTGTGGCAAATCCCACTTAGTGTATATGTACTGTGTGTCTTTGCACACAATACATACCCACACATATATCTCAAACAGTGCAGTGCCTCTCCCTACTCTTAAATATTTTTTCCAAGTTCAGTATTTCAAGAGTAGGATAAATGTCTCTGATAACCATGGAACAAAAAGTAGCTAAGGCAATTATGAGATACCTCACATGGTTTCACTGAACATGACTGATAGGGTGGCAAAAAAGTAGAGTAGACACATTCACAATAAAGCGTGCACATACAATAAGATAGTTAAGAAGTGGTGTATGTAATTTGTAACTACTGAATTCCACACTGACAAGCACTATATATAACAAAATACAAAAATATTGGCCAACAGTTAAGCAGTCTGGTAGATGAAGTCCAAAACATCTGGAGCAACAAAGTTTGGGAATGACTGTCTGAAGAAACCAAGAGGATGTTTTAGTCATAAATATCTCACCTGGGGCATCATTAAAAGAGTATAGTAAAAGCTGTTAAGACTTCCACCATTTATAAGGCAAAACTTGGATAGAAATCTCTGCTTCCAGTTCCTCGGAGTTGTAGTCCAAAAAGGAAACTTTAATGCTCCAAAGTGAGGGATGAGGTCCAGCGTGACATAGTGGGTTGAGTGTTGGACTAGGACACTGAGAGACCAGGGTTCGAATTTCAGCTCAGCCATGGAAACCCAGTGACTGACCTAGGCCAAGTCAATCTCTCAGCCTCAAAGGATGGTAACGGCAAACCTGCTCTGAGCAATAAGCTTATTGCACAGCACTTACAAGGACGGGAAAGGAACGGAATGGAATGGAGCAAAAACGATTTTACTGCATGGGAGAATGCCACCAATGCCGCCGGGAGTCCCCAAGGCGTTCCCCAGCCATTCCTGGCAGCTGATTTTGAAGAACAATTTTGAACCATCCTTCAAAAATCGGCTGCCAAGAATGGCTGAGAAATGCCTTGGGGACTCCCATGCAGTAAAATGCATTTTTGCTCCATTTCGTTCCCTTCCGTTCTGTTCCCATTCCTTAAGTACCGTGCGATAAGCTTATATATCTTCCGAAGAAAACCCCATGGGTCGCCTTAGAGTCCCCATAAGTCAGAAATGACTTGAAGACACACAGCAACAAAAGGAGGGTTGGTGATGGTCATAGTGACAGTAAGTGTGACCTTTGTCTGGTGCTTTTTCTGTCCCACAGGAGGTGGAGCTGTACAAATCCAGTCACCGGGACAAGCTGGGCCTGATGGTTTGTTACCGAACTGATGATGAGGACGATGTAGGCATCTACGTTGGAGAGGTGGGGGAGGGGGCAGCCCTTGGCGGGGGGCAATGTGTGTGGCCTGGAGGGGCCAAGGTAGGCAAGTGGGGCAGGCGGGTTGGAAGGGGAAAGCTGCATGCTGGAACTTAACCTTTACATGCCAGGGAGAACCCACTCCCTTCTTCTTCTGTTGCTTTTGGGTGGGGGGTCGTTCCTTATGGAGGGGCAGGGAGTTACATACCGGCTTTGTTTGCACATGCTTCTGGGATATTCTGGCCAAGCTGAAGAGTGAGCAGAGGGGGCTTCTGGGAGTGGGAGTCCCACAAAGTAACTTTCCATTTTCTCAAAGGGAATGGCTGGATGGATATTACAGTCAACCCTCCGTATCCACAGATTCTTTATTCACAGATTCAACCATCTATGGCTTGAAAATATTTTTTTAAGTATAAATTCTGAAAAGCAAACCTTGATTTTTGCCAATTTATATAAAGGACATCATTTTACTATGCCACTGTATTTGATGGGACTTAAGTATCTACAGATTTTGGTAGGGAGTCCCAAAACCAAACCCTAGGGCCATGTTGGTGAACCTATGACATGCATGCCAGAGATGGCATGCCATTTTCCCTGGCATGCAGAGCGGGGAAGAGGAGAAAAAGGGGTGCATCTGTTCCTCCTCCTCCTGGGCCTTCACCTTTCCTTAGAGAGGCAGCTGAAGGCCCAGGAAGGTGCGGGGAAAGAGGGGGGGATGTCCTGTCTCAGAAGTCCTGTTTCCCTTGGACGTCTCTGGCCCAGGATAACACCCGGTGCTGGAAAGCCATTTAGTTTGGGCACTCAATGCCTAAAAGGTTTGCCATCACTGCCCTAGCAAGGGCCCACTGTAATGCAGAAGCTGGGGAAGCTCAGCTTTTAAAAGGTGAAGAGGAAGGGAGTGTTTTCTGGTGCTTTCTTAAACTAAGGAAGTAAGACTTGAAAGAAGCATCTGGACAGAGGAAGGCAGAAATGGAGGTTCCTCTAACCATAAAAACAGCAGCTTCTGGTGGGAGGAAGGATTTCCTTTGGGACCAAAATGAGTTAGGGAAGAGGAGGTCATATTAAACTCTTGCTCTCCCCATCCTCAATAGTCAGAATCCTCCTCCATTTCCACTAGAGAGATGCTGTTTACATTTTTAAAATATAAAAATTAATTGCATTCACATAATTAACATCACTTCTAACTTAAGAACAAACCAAGATTCCATAAGTATTGCCTTTGAATATATCTCCAGGAGCTATACCCATAATTCTGTCATGATGAGCTTTCCTCCCTCCATTCTATCCGATGTCATCTGGGGGAGAGACACTAGGCCGAGCGCCATCAGGCC